TCAATATTCACCTACATTGTTGTAACAACGTTATTGTTATAAAAATGACGTAAGTTGGGGTCGAATATCGATTTTCAGCCAAACTAGCCAAGCAGGGTGTTCATTGTTAGAAAAATGCAGACGAATCATGCTTTTTAGCATTTCTAATTAATATCTTTTTCACAAATAATCTTTATATATATAATTCTTCTGTGAGTGTGGATGTGACTGAACTCCTCCTAAATGGCTGGACCGATTTTGATGACATTTTTTGTGGGGGTTCGAGTGGATTCAAAAATGGTTTAGATTCACAATTCGGTCCAATATCGCAATTAGTTAAAAAAGATATTAATTAAAAACTTTAAAACGCACAAATATTTTACCCATGTGTCATTTTTCTATCAAAATCAGACAAAAAATAAATACAGAATCGAAAAGATTATTCATGAGCGTGTGTATGTGACTAAACTCCTCCTAAACAGGTGGACCGATTCTGATAAAATTTTTGTGTCTGTTCCAGTGTACTCGTGAATGGTTTAGATTCACAATTCGGTCTGATATCGCAATTAGTTAAAAAGATATTAATTAAAACCCTTACCACGGATCCCAATGATTCTTTTAGATTCACCTATACCATTTAAACGTTTACAACTTCCAATTCGCTGGACATTTGCTATGACTATTAATAAGCCTCAAGGTCAAACAATTAAGATTTGTGGCTTAAATTTGGAAAATCCGTGCTTTTTTCATATCCAATTATATGTTGCATGTTCCAGAGTTGGAAAACCATCGGATTTATTTATTTATACCCCTCAAGAATTAACCAAAACTATTGTACATCCAATGGCATACGATAAATTAAGTTTTTGTACAATTTAATTAATATATGCCTGTTATAAAATAGTTTGAGTCTCAACTTTTCAACTTTAATTAAAACAAGTTTAAGTTTTTATTCATACAAAACCTCTACATTTAACTCGCTCATAGTATACGCATACTCACACGCTATCGATTGATCGAATTGTGATAACCGTATATGTAATGACTTTAGATATTGTAATAACTTTACAATACAAATTTTCATCAAAACGGTTCAGATTGTTAAAGCTTATTCATAAAAATTTGGAATTTTTGAATTTAAGATGTGTGTACAGGACAACGTCTGTCGGGTCAACTAATATATATATATATATATATATATCTTGTTCAAATTTTCAAGCGTTAATTAAGTTACAGAATTCAATAATTCTATATATTTATATCATGAATTATCTAGTTAAATCATGAAATGCCTAGGTATTTTATGAAATAACGGATTTCACACTTTGACGTTAACATATGCATAAAAAGATACTTTTCATACACTCATCTTGTCCTTATTTTTAAAGCTAAAATTTTTTATACCCGGGGTATAACACAGACCCCTACTTTTCGATCTTATTTTTTCAATTTCTACTGTTACTTCACACTCTCCCTATATATAAATATATGTATCTTGTTTGAATTTTCAATTGTTTAATAAAATACTTTATATCAATCCATTAAATTTCAAATATATTTTTTCAAACTTGTAGAGGATGATATTTGATGTTAACATAGTTTTTTCAAATGAAAATTCATTAATTAAATATAAAAAATGAATAAATAGTAAGAAACAAAAATAATAGTTCAACAGCATTTTTAGAAAGAAAATTTGTTTGTTGTGTCCCTGTGGCGCAAAGAAAGCGCGTTGGACTTCTAATCCAAAGGTCGTGGTTTCGAATACCACCTGGGATGGCCTAATTTCTGAAAATGTAATTTTTCTTTTACTATACTATTTTATTAGAATAATTGAATTTAATTAATGAATAAATAGTATCAAACAAACAAAAAAAGTCCAACACCCTATATAGAAAGAAAAATGAAAAATTGCAAAGAATATCGCTTTCTATTTTGTCACTTAATAATGTGATTCTATCATATGTATATACATATTTATACTAATTGTAACTTTTTAATAAAAAGTAACTAAAATAAGACGTTTCCTCCTTGTTGACCAAATTAGGAAATGGCTTCAAAAAATATTTTTATATCCCTTGTTTATTGGTAAGTGATAAATCTATTTCTAATTTTTATCTTAAGAATATATCAGTGATGTATATTTCATTTGTATAGAATTTTTTTTATGAAAAAATGCCTCTAGTAAATAATTAAATAGAAAAGAGCTTTTGCAGCAAAATCACTAATAAAAGAATAAGTAATCTTTAAAAGCATAGTCTTTGCTAAACTGGTTTTAAGAAACTAAGATTTGGAATTTTAATTTTTGTTCAACTCAAGTTCCAAAATTGACAAAACTCTCAGAAATTCTAGAACTTAATATAGCAGAAGATTTTCTTATAAATCATTTATAAGTTCTAAAACGTTCTGATATTTGCACATACACCCAACTCTTTTTTTACACAGTCTTTTTTACACGATTTTGAAATAACACGGTACACGAATTAAAAGGATTTTTTGTTCTAGCATGAATCCCAAAAAATTTAGGGATTCGTGCTCTTTGGGTGAGAATGACTTGATCGATTTTATGACAGCTTATGATCATAAAGAAGTTGATAATAATGAAGTCGAAGGTGAAGTTTAGTCATTAACAGCTAATTTAATTAGCGAGAGCTCAAAATTTGCTACAAGTAGGCAGCGACATTTTTTTACTCATAATCCTGAGATAAAGAGTGCATATAAATTTTGACAAATTATTTCGTTTCTTGTGGCAGGATATCAGAAATTATGTAAGCAACTTGAGAAACAAAAACAAACAGCCTCTAATAACAGATTTGTAACAACAACAAAAAACAAAAAAAACGCCTTTAATAACGAACGGAATTCTTCATTTGAATTAAAGCCTGACACAGCTGCAGATGATAGCAATTTCAATCCAGTTCGCAATAAACGTGCTTGATAGTTAGTAACTCTGTCCTTAATTTCAATTTGAATTTTTCAATTCCTACTATTAACTCACACTCTCTATATATTTATTTATTTATTTATCTTGGTGGAATTTTCAATGGTTCATAAAATACATTTTAAAGCGCTCAATTGAGCTGAAATTTTATATACATGATTATTTTGGATTAAAATGCAATAATTTAATTATAATTCATAAAAATTAATTGATTAAAGCTAATTTTTTAGAGAATTACAAATACACACAGCCACGTTGGCGACTTGTGTCAAAACTTGAAAAGGTTTTATTTCACATTTAAAAGCATTCATTTGAACTGAAATTTTATAGAAATGATTGTTTGGGATGACACAATACGATACTTTAATGATAATTAATAAAAATTAATTACCACCTAATGTTGTGATTCTGACTTATATTAATGGTAACTATTTAATAAAATGTAGCTAAAATAAAATTGTTCTTTGTTGATATAAGTAGGAATTGACTTAAAATTTTTTTTATATTACTTGTTATATGTTGTATATACTTATAGACTAAATTTTTGCAGCACACTATATTTTTTTTATTATTTTTTTTTTAATAAAAATGAACTATTTTTGTTTTAGAAATAAATAAAATTAATTTCCTTATTACTTTTTTTACTCAGTTTTTCGGAAAATATGTAGAGATTTTTCACCTTACATGATTTTTAAAAATTGTGGAACATATCCCCAAATTTACGGTATGTCGCATGTATACTCGATTTTCATGCGCTGTTTTCTAAGAAACGTATCTACCGAGTAAAACACGAGATGGGTGTACTTTTGATACAATTTCTGACAAAATAAATTCATATGTATTCTTATAAATTTTTTTGAGTACCTATGAATCTCTTCAAGCACTATTTTACGAACTATCAGAAGAATTTTCATCATAATACCCCCTTTCATAAAATGGATTTCTGGGCAATATTTCCAAATTCGAGTTAAAAATATCGATTAATTCTTTTTTTTTTTTTTTCCTTTTTCAAATTCGGCATTGTCGATAATTAAACTCTCTCCATCTCATCATAAAACTCGTATGTTGAGTATTTAGCCAGTGGAGTTTCAGTGGAGTGAGCAGAACTCTGCTCCATTAGTCCAGAAACGTTACTTTGTTGAATGAAGGAAGAAAATTGCTTACAAAACCTCGAAAATACTTATAGTAGAAATATCTGACATTTTTTTCGAATTTTTTCGTTGCATCAATATCATTGTCTTCATAATTTAGGAGTGATTTGTTATCAGCAATTTCTGCACTTATTTCAATTTTTTTTTTTTTTTTTTGCCGGTTTTGTAATCACGAGAGAGTTATTCATTTCTTGATCCGTGTTTTGAAACTCTCTCTTCAAACTACATGAATCTAGTTTGAGAAGTTCAATAAAAATATAGTAAGGGATCATATAAAGACAATACTGTAAATTGAAATGCCCAAATGGCTCAAAAAGGCACTACAAAGTGTGCAGCCTGGTAATTTTTTTACCTAATAACGACTTTAAAAAAAGTTTTTTTTACGGTCACAAATTTCAGCTTCACTTCTAGCTTACGAAACAATAAATACGACAGAAATAGTTTATTTTAAAAATCATTATTGATCTTTAACACACATTTATTGTTTCGCAATAAGGTCTTTTTTAATTCTTAGGTATTTGTACAATGCAACTTAACGATTAACGTTGCTGAATTGTTTGGAATTTATAAATTACGGTTTAATTTATTGCAACATTTATATAGGTAGCAAAAGGTGTTTTAATATATATATCTCGGTTTTCTTACTATTTTTTTCCATTTTCAATTATACATGAAAAGCTTACGATTTGAATAAATCAAACATGACAACATTTATTGTGTAAGTAACAAATTTCTGTAAAAATTTAATTAGTTAAAAGTAGTAAATAGTAATATTTACTCTAATTTTGTATCAGAATTCCATTTTATAGCTGTTTCTGAGAGTTTACGTTATTTTACGACATTAAAAATCGTCTGTAACAAAGATGTGAAACATTTGTAGAATATAATCACGCAAACTTTTTTTATTATAAAAGATAATTACAGAGAAAAAGAATCAAACATTTAATATTAGTTAAATATCAAAGCAATTTTTATTCAACTTATTACGTTAATGCTAAACAACAGCAATAACACTTCTAAAAACAGATAAAAGTGTATGAAAGTACATAATGTTTTGTGACTCATGTTTGCCTAAGGTTAAGATATGCTGCTGACAAAAGAGAAACACAAGAGAACTGATAACAAAATGCGAATGCGCTAGTCTTTTCCTTTGTAAAATACGAACTTTAATGGCATGAAAAAGAATAGCATCTGGGAGATAGATACTAGGTACAGGAAACTAAAATTATTGCTACAGAAGAAATAGTGTGTATCGAATAATCTGCTTATAAATTATGAACTGTCTTTTAATAAAAACCCCGGTATTCTTTTGGAATTCGAAAACCAATTCATATTTTTACTTAACATATATCTTAAGGTATTCGACTACGTTCGTAACCGTGATTTAAAAAAAACGCATAAATTGATACTTTTCATGATATTTAGTGCCACTTAGATTAGAATACATGTATAAAATTGTTTTAAGGACATTTTGACAAAAAAAATTATTTAAATACAATATTTCGGCAAAAAATTAACTTAGAATAACCTTTTTTCAAAATGTTCTCCTTTCGTGAAAAATGCTTCTATTATAATAATATTTTGCCTGCATATAGCTCAGACCTCTATACAGAGGCTCAACTATGATTTTTGAAAAATTCACATTATTTTCAGAGTTACAACCCATTGAAATAATTATAGGCTTTTTTTCTTGAAATTTCTCCCCTCTGTTGACGTAAAACAGGGATAAACCCACTTCTAAGATATATATTTCAAAAATTCTAGTTGAGCCTCTGTACAGAGGTGTGAGCTATATACAGACAAAATATTATTATAATAAAAGCATTTTTCACAAAAAGAGAATATTTTGAAAATGGGTCATTCTATGTTCATTTTTTGCCAAAATATTATGCTTTTATAATTTTTTGTTGTAATACTCTTATTAAAACAATTTTATGTACTTTTTCTAATCTAAGTGACACTAAATATCGTAAATATTACCCATTTATTCCTCTTTGCAAAATCACGGTTCCGAGCGTAGTCGGATACCTTAATAGTACTTTTTATTTTTAAAGACATTATTTTATTTATTTTAAAGTGACCATTTATTAGATTTCTGAATTTAGTTAGTATTAATAAATCAATCCCTAAACAACGTCCTAGCTTAGGGATTGATTTATTAATACTACCATCAACAGTTGAAGTTTTAATCAATACAAAACTTGAATGAAGTACATATAATTCTTCCCCTTTCATTCATATCAAATCATTTTATCTTCTGCTCAATTTTTCTTTTATCCTTTCAATAAGTAACCGCCCCCCCCCCTCTCTCTTATCATTTTGATCTCTCCGGAAGCCTTTAATCTGGGGATGGACATGACGTCGACGTAACCCCTCTCCTTTTCAATAAGAAGCTCTTACATCTCTATTCTGACTTAGTATTCGTCAGTCGATTGTAGTTTTTGATGTTGGATCAAGAGATCAGAAATGAAAAAGAGTGCTGTCCAATATTTTTAAAGACAGTAAGAAATTAATACCTTACGATTTTTCTAACTACTCGCTTATTAATCTTACGTTCCAATCGTTAAACGAGTACTTCTCAAACTTTCAATATTTGCGACCCAATTTTCAATCAAAATTTTCATCGCACCCCTCTTTATACAATTGCAACGTATTCAATGCAGTAACAAAATGTACTTTGATACTAA